TATATAATAAAGATAAAGCTTAATTGAAAAAAAGGAACTCTGTTATGCCCTGTATCTTGACATGCTCTTTCAAAATAAAATTATACATATTGAAGAGTTTGGACCGAAAAATTTTGGACAGAAGACCAAAAAACTGCTGGTTTTTCAAAAAAAAGGTTCTCAGAAATGTTGAAAATTTTGGGGAAAAATTAAAGTATGGAAGAAAAATTTTTATCGTTTATGAAAGAGAAAATGACGGGCTATCTTTTCCATGTATTTATCTCAATTTTGATCATTCTGACGAAAACTGACTTTTTTGGAGGAGAAGGAGACCTTAAGCTATTTTCATACACTTTGAACTATACTCTAAAAAAATCGTTTTTTTTTTATCGAACCTTAAAAGTTTCTTATTCTTGACACACCGTAAGATTCTTTTTTGGTTTTGTAAAAACTGAGATATTGTACTGAACCCTTTCTGAATAAATAAAAAAAAAAGTTCTGTATAAAAGATTTCGTTCCAAACCTTTCTTCGACAAATGGCTTAAAGGTTTCACATCAAACTCCTTTGTATAATTGTAATAATGGTTCCTTCCAAGTACTTTTGTGCTAAATCCCGATTACATCTTTAACCATTTAGGGACGAATAAGATGGGTTTAGCATCATTTTTGAAACATGAAAGTAATACCTTAGTAATAACTTGAAAGTCAACTATTTAGGAATATAGAATTATATTCAATTTTCAACACACAGATAGAGACTATGTTGGATCTGTTGAATATTTAAACTACTAGATAAATCGATACTTGGTTCTTTAATCAAGATTATTTAAATAAATTTATACAATTGTTTTTGAGATGGAGAGTCTTAAATGTTGTATTTATTGACTTTAATTAACTGATATGATAATCATTTTATTTTTCAATTGTAGACTATATCACAATGGTTTGGCTTGATCTTTGTAGCTTCGATGTTTATCGTCATGACATTTTGGAGCTTGCATAAAACTATTCATGCTTTGGTGAGTATTATAATATCTATCATTTATTAATTTGTCAATTGTGCACATTTATACTCTAATAATAGTTATGAGTAGTATTGGGAAAATAGCTCCCATTTAAAATTAGAAAGGTTACATTAAGTCCTCTTCCTCACAAATCGATCTCAGGACCAAGTGCATTGAAATCGCATGAAATTTTTAAGATATGTTGGAGCTATTATATGGAGGCTATGGTAAAATTTTCAGCATTATACTATGTAGTTTGAAGGAGATATGCACCAAACAAGGGTAAAAAATAGATCATTGTGTCTGCAAGAATTCTCTATGAGCCTTCATTCAATATATACATTTTATTTTGTTTTTGTTTGAGAGAGCATCTCAAGATGCAGGTCCTATGATAGTCCTTTTTTAAACTGTTATCTATTAAGCGAAGAAAAAGGACGACCAATTTAATCACTCGAAAAACTCTCAAAAAATGGCACTTTAATTATAAAAATGCTTTTTATTATAATAATAACAATGCTTCATTCAAAAAACGGACTCTCATAGGACTGTAGTTGAATGCCGCTGCAAATACAGAAAGATATGTGTAGTAAAATTGTTATATCTCTAGCCAAAGTATAAAGAATGGAGCTGAAATTTTCAATGATGCAAGGATAATCCATCCACAATATGTCGCGAAATATTCAGCTCTGTACAATATATTAGGACAGAGATCAGCTTTTAACAAGGTGACGAAGCATAATCGATGAGGAACTTTATTTTGAGAAAGGAGGTATGGCCTTAACCTTCGAACGGATGAGATAATGTATGAAAAATCCAAATAATTACATGATGTAGCATTATCATTCAGGAAAGAAAGTCTGAATAGAAGAAGGACATTGAAAGAATAGGAAGATGAGAATGATGGTAATGCGAGAAATAACCTCATCTTTTGAAACAATGAGTTTTAAGATGCTCTATCTATCTAGTACTTGACATAATGTTCCTCACTTTACCTTTATCTACAGTATCTCTTCTTCTCTCCAATTTCGTCTATTACTTCTCCTAGTCTCTAATTGTATCAAACCACTCCGGTACAGACACAATATCAAACATTTTGAGTAGCGTCACATATTCCGAATTTTGGAGATGTACCCTCGTCTCTTCAAGAAGATGTACTCTCACTCTTAGAGATGTGCATGCTCTGCATGAGATGCAACATCTCCTGCAATAGATCGGCTTATCTCCCACAGGAGATGAGGTGCATATTCAAAAGTAGAGACATGACACTGCTGAACATTTCTTTTCTTGTTGAAAGAATTTTTTTTAAAAGAAAATTTGTAATTAAATTTGGCATATATAAAGAGATAAAAAAGAATGCAATGCAAAAAAATCCGTAAATGCGACTAAGTACGTACTTTTCAGAGAGATAATTTGTCCTACTATTAGTAAATGAAATATTTTTCAAGCATTAAATTTTTATCAACTGAAACAATAGTTGCAACATATATGTAGTTCAACTATGATAAAAAAAAACGTTAATTTATTTAAAACTTAAAGTTAATCAGTGAAATGATAATTACTTATAAGAATTAATAGAATTAGACTTAATAGATTTCAAATTATACACATTTATTTAATAAGATGTTTTAAAAGAAGTTGCTATTCTTTATTCATTATCATTCATTTAATCTGAGCACTTTGCTTTTTATGAAATTTTCTCTCATAAATATAGACATTCATATGATTATACTATACTTGTCAATGAAGTCTACTATAATAACTCTCATTTGCTAACAAAGATATCGTTTCTATGCTTCTTAATCAATCATACATTAATAAGAAAAAAAAAGATACATTTATCGTTGTTATTTTATTTATGTTTACGAGCATAAAAATGAAAGTATTTGTACAATGTTTAATGATGGATTATTTTGAATAAGATTAAAATATTATCATTTTTCTCAAGAGACATCTATTAACAGAATAAATCTGAATGACATTTATAAATATTTAATAGATTGTTCCGATAAATCCGTCTAACACAAATGGTTATCTTTTCTTAACAATCTTCTTGATGACGATCACCGCTGATTTATATGTGATTTTCGGAATAACTCCGTGTGGTATTCGTTTTCGACTTATTATTCTTACTAAATCGATCATGATTGTCAATCCTATTGTATTATATTGCCAAGTTAGTGATAGATTTCTTACATATTTTAGCATTATGAAAGACCAAAGTTTTATAAAAGTAAATTAAGATCAGTGTTCGAATGAACTTTTATATTTTACGAAAGGATATTTCAAGAAATTTGTTCAAAAAAAGTTGAAGAATTCGTATCATCAATAAAACAATGTCTTGCTAGAAATAGAAAAAGTATTTACTATCAAGATTAACAAATACAGAACCCTTTAACGTCCATAAACAATCATACATGTTTTAGATTTCTCCTTAATTATCTGTATTGTGCCGTATTACATGATTACGTATTAAGATCGTATATTTCCGTGGCTGTATACAAATAAAAAATGAGCAAAACCAAGACCGTATAGGTCTTCGTGTACGAAGGTAGTAAATAAGCGTTTTTTTTTCTCCATATATTGTCATATTTTTCGATATATGATCGCTGATGATTATACTTTTTTATTTGGAATTAGATATTTTTTATGATTTTCATTGTCATAACACATTTGTATAATAAAATAGATATGTTATTCATAATTAACGTTAAAAGCTACATTAAATCATATATAATTTGAAAGAAATTTTTTTCCATCAAAAATTCACCTTTAGTCCCTGATAGGCTCTCTCCTATAAAAATTTTTCTCATAGTTTTCTAAGGTCAATTTTCGACGAAAAAATTTCTTTCAAATTATATATGATTTAATGTAGTTTTTTGTGAAACACGAACTAAAAGGAGTGTTGAAGTATTTAGGGGTAGAAATTTGCACCCACTCTACTCTCCCCCACAGATATGCTTGGCAACCATACATCACAGACGTGACAGACATCCTTAGCAACGTCGCTTATGTCATAGACCGTGACAGACAAGTCAAAAGGCCGTTACATGCTATGACATAAGGTGCTAATATACAATTAGAGGTCCATATCAGTAACGATTTGTTACAATATACCAATTACTAAGTGATTGCATTTCTTGGAGTTTAAGTAAAAATAGGCTGAGGACAACACAGCTCCATTGTGTTTCATATTTTAATCCCGTATGGATTGCGTTAGCAACTTTTTAACGTTAATTGTGAATAACATATCTATTTTGCTATACAAATGTGCCGTAACAATGAAAATCATTAAAAATATATGATTTTGTTTTTTTAAATTCAACAAATATTAGGGTAATGTGAGCTTCTTGTCACCCCCAAGCATATCTTTTTTTTTGAAAATTTTTTTACTTTTGTAGACGAGTAAAAACTGCACAACATATGTCAAAATCAGCTTGGATTCCTTTACAATGTCTGAATGACAGCTGAAATGCGAAAAAACACCAGCACATTTTTTACTCGAAAATGAACAATTATGGACAGTATTTGTCCAATAACTCAGAATTGATTAGACTGAAACATCATATATAAATAGATGATTTTGTTGAGTGTTTGATTTT